GCCCAGTTATAATTATGTCTTTATCAAGAGAGGACACATGTCATTATTCTATTAATCCAAAAAGCCTATAAATAGAGGCATGGAGGAAGAGGAAGTCCAGAAATTGAGAGACTCAGAAGTGCAGAAATTCAGAGACTCAGAAGTCCAGAAATCCAGAGTAAAATACAGAGCCGACATTCATCCCCAACACCCAATCCTTTAAAAAGAAGAGCAATAAGCACAACCAAAGCACATCCAATCCAAAGTCGTGTCGTTCTTCCACAAATTCAACAAATTCTCTGAAAACGAAGAACAACAAGCACATCCAATCCAAAGTCGTGTCGTTCTTCCTCAAATTCAACAAAGAACAAGCAACACATCAAAACAGTGCCATTCTTCCGCAAATTCAACAAAGAACAACAAGCACATCAAAATCGTTCCGTTCTTTCCCTGCAATTCAACAAGTTTGAAGAATCATCAAACAACACTGTTCGAGATCAAGCTTCGTCAACCCTCGATCAAAAATCATCGGCAGTCTTCCTCAACTACAAATACTTGAAGAAGATTGTCAATAGCCGGATTTAAGATCAAGCTCCAACAGCCTTGGATCCAACCAACAAAGGAGATCGAATCAGAGAATATTTTCTTTCTTTTGCAAAGAATACCTCAGAGGATTGTACTCAAATTTCATAAATTAATAAAATTATTATTTGCCCCATCTTTCGTTATTTTATTTGCAAACTACGAAATTTGTGTGTACAAGTATGACAAACAGATTTAAGCCTGATAACCACTTTTTGCAAAATAATGCCTGTTCTCCCCCTTCCAACATCTTGAATGGCCACGACAAGCCCTAGTTAATGGCATTTTTTATGTTTGTGTGGTGAATAGAACCCAAGCGTTGTGGAGAGTCATAAGCAAGACCATGGAATTCGATTTGGAACTTTTGCCAACACGTGTAGAAAACATCGATAATAAAGAAGGCAACATATGAAACAAAATTATAACAAGATTGAGATGGAGAGACACTGTTGAGGCATGATAACAGAACTCAAACCACCTATGATTTCTTTGGACATAATCATACAATATAATGAGAGGAACCACTCCTCAAAGCAGCAATGGAGAACAAATTTTAACCTCAGCAGTTTTTAAATTAGATGTGAAGGCTTTAGGTGAACAAGAAAACCATTTACATAGGTTATAGGTGGGTACACTCTTCCTGATTAACCTTAAACATTTCTTTTTCTTTTTCTTATTCAGGAGGGCGCATTGTCTCAACTCTAAGTAAATACTTAAATGAACAAGAAAAGTTGCCCAAAAAAAAAATGAGAGAGAGAGAGAGAGAGAGAGAGAGAGAGAGAGAGAGGGAGAGGGAGAAAACCAGCACGACCATTTATAGTGAGGAAAAAGTATACATTTCTCAACTATTAACAGATCAAATTGTTAAATATGTAACTTGATCTCGATCATGTTTCTAGAGTTTACTTTTTTTTTTTTTTTTACTTCAGGTTTCTTCTTATCTTTTTGTTATTTTATTTTATTTCTATTGACAGATCAAATTGTTGAACACACAATAAACATGATCTCAATCATGTTTCTGGAGTTCTTTTTTTTATTATTATTTTGACTCCAGGTTTCTTCTTATCTTCTTTTTTCCTTCCTTATTCAATGGGGGTTATAATTCCATTGTACTGTACATGCAGCTGAACCTGCAATCTCAATTCCAGCTAAATAAATCATCTCTATAGATATCTATTTCTCATCAAGCTCTAAAATTATTCTTCCATTCTGATGTTAACCCTCTAAACTGATGTGACATTCCTTAAGATACTAGGTGATGATGACATAGAAACCTGCCATGGAACTTGGTTTGCACCAGTTGGCAAGTAATGAATTTGATGCTATTGGTTGTGAAGTCTACTCATGCAACAAGCAACCAACCCTGCATAAATTCCCCTAACTGGGAAAGTCAGGGAATGTAGGCTATGAGGCCCATTTCAATAGCAAACTGCAATTATCTCAGGCATCTAACCCTGCTTAAGAGAACTTCATTATACCAAAAGCTCTGCCTTTCACATTCCAGAGGCTAGCTAATTTTTATGAAAGATAAGGACAAGTGCTGCAGATGTCAGTCCCTTGGAATAAGTTGAATAACTCACTCCAATAGCTAATTGAAACAAATATCCGTGAGAATTTTGTAAAGAACTCGAATAGTGGCGAAGGAGGGAAAGAGAGATTGTGTGTGTGTGTGGAGGAGAGAAGGGGGGGTTTGAAAGATAGTCTAGTATGTTTCAAAAAGTGAACCAAAAAAATGAAAAGGAAACAGTAGTTCTTTGTGACAGATAAACTAATCCATCAAAGAGTTTTGGAGGGGATGTACATAGCATGCATAAGCTTTGAACAAAATGGAGATCAACCTACACAAGAACTACAATTATGGCTCTCCCAAAAATTAGTAAAGGCTTCTCTGGAACTGAGTAACTTTATTATAGCCAATGACAAATGGTACAAGAAGCTCACCAGAAAATGTTTTAACTTCACAACAAGCAACTCTAATCCTTCTAAAATGCACTAGTTCTTCTCCATCCAAAAACACCAATTCAAGCACAAGGGCAACGAATTAAGAACTTGTTCTCTACCATACATTTTTACTTTGCTTTAGTTCCAATCAAGGTTTTAAATAACAATGACAGCTGCAGTGCTGGTAAGGATTGTTTTCACATGGGTGCAGAATAAACAGACATAACATAATTGACGTGAATGCTAAAGCAGTGACTTTTCTTGTGTCGTAAAGATTTTTAACGAATTTTGTTGAATTTAGAAAGATGATTTCATATGGGATATGAAATTTATATTGAAGTTTAGGTCAATGGAGAAAAAGATTACAATTTTTTTATTTTTCACTGTTTGATGAGCAAATATACACTCAAATAATAAAAAGTTATAGAGCTTTGCTAAATGGACTTACAAAATGAAATGTTTATGATGAAATAATGAGAGTTCAAATTATCACATGAAAAATCCTTACTATATGTTTCATTGATGGTCTTTTTACGTACATGTTTTTTTTTTTTCAGGAGAAGGATACTTTATTTACCAAATATATATATATATATATATATATAGGACTATCTAATTGATGATATTTTTAATACATTTGTACAAGTAAACTCAAATTCATGAAAAGCATGTGATAGGGAAGTAACTCTCAGTTCCAAACCCTCTCACAGTTACCAATCGTTCACTTACAATATTTATCTCTCATTAAATTTCCTATTTACTTATTTTTCAACTCTTAATATAAAACCTCATAACACCTCTCCCTAATTCCCCCTGCCACCATAAATTTCTTTCTGACCTCCCCCGGCTAAAGTTGATCACAAACATTGATCTCCTTCTCCTGTCCCGACCACGATTGTGAAAACCAAAAAAAATTAACAAAGTTTACAAGTCAATTTTATATGCGATTCTACTGATTGTTACGCATATGTGATTCTACTGGTAATCAATTTTGTGTTCGGCTGCTATGTTCATGAAATGTTGTCGCCCATTAGAACTAATAGACTCTTTGTTCGCTGGATGCATATAAAAGTTATTAATAACATTGAAATGTGAATTTTAAACTTGTGATATGTGATTACTTGACTGGTTGATAACATCTAAGTTTGCTCAGATAAGCTCAAGATAAATAACCCAACAAAGCAACAAAATACTAAAAGGAAAACATTGCCATTGTAGACTACATAAAAAGTTTAAAACTAATTATATATAGTTTTTCAAAATCTTAAACATGAAAATAGGCTACCCAAAACAAAACCACATCAATCTATCAAGCAAAAAAGAAAAATTATCTTGAGATTATCACAAACATGGCTATCGGAGAGGTAAATGATATCTGAGTCAGTTTCAGCTAGTGGAAAGTGGCTGCATTTGAATTCCATAGCATATGCCAGACACAACAGAGAGAGAAGAGAGGAAGACAAGCCGAATAGGGGTTTGGTGTGGGTTTATGTGGTGGACATTACTGAAATAAATTTAAAAACCATGAAGAGCAAGGACAAAGGGGGGAAATTTTTCCCAAATCCACATTTTAAAAGCTGTTTTTAGGCCAGAAAAAATCCTAAGCAGCTTTAACCAAACCACAATTTTGTGTCTGGCAATACAGCGATTTGTGTTTTTCCAAACTGCATCCAGTTGCAGTTGACCAAAATAAACATTCGGTTTGCACAAACGTACCCAAAATAAACCATCTGTACAATTACGAATCTAAACATATTAGCCACAACACAGATAGTAGTTGGATTAAAGTCCATTTTCACAAACATAAATTTGTTATATTTATAGCACAATAATACATGCAATTTGCTCATAACAATTCCACTCCTCAAAATGATTAAAAGCACCTTCCACCTGACATTGAGTGCCAACTTTCAGAGAAACAGGGACCCCTCAATTTTTTGGCTATCTAGAAACCTCGATCTGGTACTTTCCCAGTCAAGGATATCATTGTCAAATACAGAAGTCATCACTCACTAGAACAACCTTGGTTCTAACTTTGAGAGACCCCTGTGTGTGTATTAGTGTGTATATATATTTTTTAAATACTTCCTTATTGACACACCATTAACTATCCTTGTTGTCCTTCCTCTTGCAATCTTAATTACCAAGCAAATCAAATAATATCACTTCTGAAATACGAACATATACCAGTCCCACATTCATTCCATTCTCAAAACCTTGACGGCCATGTGCATTTTTCATATATCATGGATACTCAAATAAAACAAGAGCAATTTTCTTTGAATAAGTTAAATATTCTTCACAAAAACCAGCTCAAAAGTCATGAAAAACCTGAAATTTCAAACCATTTCATACAGTAAATTTAACAAGCACCCAAAACCCATAATCATTTACAGAGTTCATAAACAACCCATTACCCCTCATAAACACAACATCATACCTTATGAATGCATAACACATATACACATACATGAAGAGTGAAGAGTGAGCACTGATACCTGATATTCATGGAGTCTGAGGTGGAACCCATTTCAGAAGAAGAGCAATTAATTACCACTCGTCCATACGAGCTCTGATAGCCCATCATCGTTAGGTTCCAATGGTGGGGTTTGAAGATACACAGAGAAGGGGAAGGTGAAGGTGAAGATGAAGAAAATTGAGGAGAGACGGTGTTTTGAGATAAAATGGGGCGGCCAAAGGAAGTAGATAGCGCCATCAGAAACTAAAACCGAAAACAGAAGAGGAGTCACACAGGTAATAATCCCCACAACGAGTTATCAATTCGCACTGCCAGACTTGCTTTCAATTTATGGACGCTTTGTTTAATCATTATTTTCACAAAAATAAAAAATTGTGATTTCTCCTCTTCATTTATGGATTTTTTAGATTATGTCGTTTTCTGGTGGAAAGTGCTATTTCTATAATAATATCTCCTGCGTGCCTGAATGAGAATTGAAAAATCCAAATTTTTTTTTCTTACGAAAATATTTTCTTTTTCTATTTCCTTTATTCGATAGTACTATTTCCTTTATATATATATCTATATATTTGACGTTTCAACCATTTAACACTCAAATAAGCGTGTCATTTATAGAAGTCCAAAGAATAGCCGCTAAGGGCGGCTCAAACCCTAGGCAACTTACGCAATTGCATAGGACCTCCCCCTTAAAGAAGCCCAATCAACTTACCATGTTTATTATGTTTATTGTGATTTTTTTAATAATTTAGTGAAAAACTATAAAATCCCCGAGTCTTAGTCTGCTAATTTGATGACAAATTTTTATAAGATTGTTTGGCCTTAAATTTTTCAGGAGCTTGTAAGAATTTTTAAAAAAATAATACTTGTATCGATTTGTTGCAATGAATTACCAAACAAATTTAATTTAATTTAATTGATCATTTATGCAAGAAGTAGGACCCTCCACTTACTTATATTCTACATAAATAATCAAGAGTTAATTACAATGACACCCCTAAGGCTTGCTATAATGACATCCATATACAACTTAACTCTTTTTTGGACGAAGACATCCTTTAGGTTTGATAAAGTTAATAAAGACACCCCAATGGTCATTACACATTGTGAATTGACATTATTGTTCTTTGACACATTCAATTACCAATTTATCCAATACAATTCTTTTTAACTAACCAAAATACCCTAGTAACCAAACCAACAGCCACCACACCCGCCACGACTAGTTCACACCGACCACCACCCATTTCATAGCCCTACCATATCCGCCACCACACCCAACACCATGGTGCTTGAAATAGAGTTATCAAATATCACAAAATACAAAATAGAAAGAGAGAGATATCATAGCCCTACGACGCCGTTTTGGGATATGTTGATAGCTTTGATGAGGCAAAGGTCGAGGAAGGTTGAGTCGTTGTCATCGTCCTCAACAGTGATGGCTCGTTTGCGCTTAGATATGTGGTTGTGGTGGTGGCGATTTCAATTATTTGTCCTCATTTTGATGGAGAAATTACAAAACCCCAATTTCTGTGCAATTTTTTGGTGGGGTGTGGTTATGTGTGCGCGTCTGTGTATATGTATCTATGTATGTGTGTGTGTGCAAGAGAAGGAAGAAGAAATTTCAATTATCTATGTATATGTATGTGTGTGTGTGTGTGTGTGTGTGTGTAAGAAAGGGAATAAGCAAAACTTGGGGGTGGTCGTAGCTCTAGTTGTGGACGATGACGGTGATGAGTAATGGTGGTAAGAGGTGGAACAATTCGACGAGATGGTGGTTGTGGCAGTAGGTGCAAAGAAATGGTAGTGGTGGCAACACCGTGGTTGATGAGAGATAGTGGCGGTGGCAGCACCGTGGTTGATGAGAGATGGTACGAGTCGAAGGCAGTGGTGAGTGGGTGAGATCGAAGGCAGTGGTGAGAGTGGTGGTGGGTGACATCGAGGGCAGTGGTGGGTGAAATTGAAGGAGTGGGTTTTTTCTTAGGTTATCTTCAATTAGGTGGTGGGCGGAGGTTGGAGAATTGGGTGTGGTGGTGTCGATGAGGGTGGTGGCGGCTAATACCAACGTCGATGAGGGTGGTGGCGGCTAGTGCCATCTGGTGCTCTCTCTTTCCTGCTGCTCTTCCTTATATATATATATATATATATATATATATATATATATATATATATATATATATATATATAGGTTATCTTCAATTAGGTGGTGGGCGGAGGTTGGAGAATTGGGTGTGGTGGTATCGATGAGGGTGGTGGCGGCTAATGCCAACGTCGATGAGGGTGGTGGCGACTAGTGCCATTTGGTGCTCTCTCTTTCCTGCTGCTCTTCCTTATATATATATATATATATATATATATATATATATATGCAATAATGTATATAATGTTCATATATAAAGGTAAATTTGACTTTTTATGAGTTTTGATATTTCACAATAAAAATGAATTAAATTTTAAAGGGCAATCTCGTCATTTCTAATGTTTTAAAGATTTGTTTGGATCAAAATTATCATAGGGGGTGTCTTTGTCCAAAAAAAATATTTAAGTTGTATATGGCTATCAATATGTCAAACCTCAGGGGGTATCGTTGTAATTAATCCAATAATCAATAAGAAACATTCAGTTAGGTAATTCACTGTAACAAATCAGTACAAGTATCACTATTCTTCTTATATAATTCTTATACAAGAATAAGGCTCTGTTTGGTTAAATGGAAATAGCAAGAAAGGAAAATAACTAGAGAATGAAAAGAAAAGTGAAGTAAATGAAAAGAAAATTGATTTTCTAGTATGTATTTGGTTAGGAAGAAAATTTATTCAAGAAAATTGTAGAAAAATATCATATTATAGTTTGGATACATAAATTACTCTTATTTTATAAAATAATAAAAAATTAAGAATTAGTAATAAAATATATTAAAAAATGATGAAGTTTTCAATTAATTTAGATCTTTTGAATTATTATTATTCATGATGAAAAACAATTAGAAATGGAAGTCAAGTTAATTAAAAATTTATCAATGATAAAGTTGTTAGTGGATTCCAATTCTTTGAAACCTAGTAAAAAAATGTTGTTGTTTTCAAATATAAAATGAAATTGTTGGGTAAAATAATATTAATGGAAGTTGTTGGGTAAAATAGGAACACTAAATAAAAAAATATACTTTCACAAATATTTCCCAGTGTTTTGTGAAGGAAATATTTTGGAAAAAATAAAGGGTTACAAGAATCCTAATTTTCTAGAATTTTTCCTTTTCTATCTAACCAAACTATAAAAAAAATTTAAAATTTTCTATTTTCTTTCTTTTCTAGTTGATTCTATCTAACCAAATAAAGCCTAAGGCTACATTGTAAGAAAGTAAATTTAGATGTTTGATCGATCCTTTGCACGAAATCTCTCCATTGATTTATAAACATCTCACGGCAGTTGAAGGTTGTTAAATGGCAGTTGCAACCTCCACTATGTTAAAATTCAAAACTCCACGTTTTGAATTTAAATGCCAACAAACTTGATCATCCTCTTTTCATAGCATCACTTATCAAACTGTTGGGGTTTATATGCCCTGGTATAGCAAATTCCTATTTAGATTATAGTAACATATGTTCCTGACATATCTGAAATATTTATGAATTATATAATTGGTGAATTCAATGTATTATGTTCCGATTCACTATGAAATTGATAGTGTCCCTGTGATTACAAAAAAATATTTATATATATGTATATGATGGCAATCAATGCATGATATATAAATAGTAATTATAAATGGTTCATAGTCGGTAATTATGGATGGACTCATAATTAATTAAGATTTGAACTGGATCCGCGTTAGGTTGAGATATATTGCGAGAGCCGTCGTATGCAATTGCTCCCTATCACCGTCATGGTATTTGACTCTTAAGCATGAGAAAATTATAGACTCTTTTATTAATTAATAATTGCTTTGATTTGTTCGGCAGATTCTTCGGAATCCTTAAACCGACACTTTGGATAGTTATGTAATTAATAGTTAGAGGGTTATATTTTCGATATTTACACCATTGCTACTTGTATTTATTTTGTATTGATTATGGTTGATCATAAAGTAAATTCGAAGGCCTTCGTGTGTTTTTAGACAAAATGATTTATTATATATTTATTTATTTAAATTATTATTTTTGTCAAACAAATGTTTTATTGTGATTGAGTCAGAAATAATCAAAGGTACCAAAATAAATATATTAATTAAGTAGTCGGATTGATGACATTATTTATCCGATAACTAATTATGCATAGAAGGGTCAAAGTGCAACATTGATTTAGAGGTTATTTATTGTTTAATTGGAGTTCAATTAATTTCTTTTAGTGGAGTAGAAATTAATTTATGAATTAATTTAATTAGGTCCATGGACCGGGCCAATTATTAATTCATTGTAGCCAATAAAAATAATAAGCCCAAAAGTGTGATACCCCTCGGATCCGAGACACGGGCTGATCAGGCCCAGGCCCAAACCCGAGGGAATATCAAACAATTAAAGTATTTTAAATGAACACAGATTACAAAAAAATGATTTAAGAAATAAAAGAATAAGCGGAAAGATACTATAAAAGAAATCCTCAATAAAAACCTTAAAATATTAATAACTTAAAATCCTACAATCCAAAATCTCCAATCTTTTAACAACTCGGGAATCCATCTCTAGTGGACCCCTAATATAAAAATCCCAAACTGAATCAAAGTAAAACTGAAGATAAAATCTAAGTCGAACATCTAGAAAGAGATCCTACATCGTCGGAAGAATGAGTGACCGTCTCTGCTCCACACGAACAAGCTCAAGCCTAGAACTGTCGTACACCTGTAAAATAGGAGTGGGTCAGGCCCACGAACAAGTTCTATCCTACTACAATCCAAACAGAGACCCGATACGCATGTACATACTAAACAGTTCAACAATAGCTAATAGTCCGTACATAAATATATATCCACACTACTGGACTCTCGCTAGACCATGAAGAGGGTCTCAACCTGAATAGAAGGCATCACACAAATCGCACCTGAGTGGGTATGAGTACCTAAGCCTAAACAGGGTATACCTCAATCCCCACAGTCAGCTACACATCCAACTGCATATACGCATCCTAACCGTTGACTCTGAGACTCAAGCTCATGTCACGGTACCATAAAATATATTTAAACTCCAATTCCATCCATCCACAAGAAATCCATTAAGTCGTTCGGCGTAGTCAACCGCACCGACTTACATACATATAAGGAGGATTTATTTAATAACCCGTACCCTCATTCCAAATAGGTAGAACTTAGCAACTTGTGTTGTCCAAACCTAGTATGTCACCGTCCCATACCGGTACATACAATCCAATCCATCCAATAGTT